CCGGTCGCTCGTGTTGTGTTTCTTAGTAGGAAAGCGGGATTTGTTGGAAGCTGGTTCTTTGTGTTTGTTGTGCTAACGTCGACGGGGAGTGAGAAATCTAAATCGCGTCCAAATGGTCCCTGGTACCGGTCTCGTGAAATGCATTGACAGTTGTGACTTGGATTACCTGCTAGTGTAATGTCATAACGCATGTGTTGGGTGAGTTCCTGTCAGCTGTTTACTTCTTTAAACTTTTGTATTGTCAAAGAACTGGTGTTTGTGCCAGACCGAACAAAGCAATACATCTACAACAACAAATTATACAGTGTTTTTTTGGCCTTGCTTTATGGACAGTAGTTACGGGTGTTTTAAATGGTTTCTGAAATTCAGAAATTTATATACGGTGGCGGCCGAACCAATCGCGAGGCCCTAGGCGAGATGGTGTAGCGAGATCCCATAAAAGTACACGCAAAGCATTTTTTGTTATTTAATTCTAATTTTAACGGCTCCAGAACTGACACACGATTTATGCAAGTCTTTCCGTCTGCATCTGTAAATTCTAACGCTGGTAATTTTTGCATTAATGACAATATTTGAATAGAGATTGGCTGCCAAAGGTCATAAAAATAGGTTAGGCCATTATCGTAATAATAGTTTATGATTTTTAGTGACTTAAGGTGCACTTCTTTGGAAAGATGTATACCTACACGCCATTGGACGTAATGAATCTGCCTGCATTTATTCAAACTACTGGTACAAATAACATTTTCACTCACTCTATAAAATCTTTGTGCTTTTTCTGGAACCCAAGATTTCGGAATAGACCACCGCACAAGTTGCGCCGTTTTCTGTTGAAATAATTGTCAATCTCAGTCGCTTCTGTGCCATTGTCGTTCGAAGGTTATGTTAGGTTAGGTTCAGCCTTCGATGGATTCAGTAGCAGCAGGTGTAGTCAAACTTTGGATACACGTCACTCTGTTTTTATTGAACAAGGACTGTTATTGCACGTACATTGTAATTTCCTTTCAAAATATTTGGCGACCTACATAATTCTGTATTATTTTCATCGAAACGAAAACACGAAGCCCCTGTTCACTAAACAATGCATATTGCTGTTGTCACAACAGAATGTCGACTGACTTATCTTACCCGTCAGTTTCTTGTCCCCTCAACAATTACAAACGAGTTTAAATTAAAAGCATCAATCACTTTAAGAAAAATTGGTCTGAAACGCTTTATTAGAACATAGAATTATTTATGGTTTTATGGATTTGCATCGAACTTGTTTTTACTCTAATTTGTTTCGAGGTAAATATATACATAAAAATAATTTATTTGTTAATCTTCGTGATATTTTTGCTGTTACTTATTTACGTACAATTTTTTTTATCGTAAGATAATTTATAACAGTCAATATTGCATTTGAATATTATAGCTGCAGAATATCTCATTTAGATAAATATTTGACAAACTAAAATTATGCCTTGAAGAAGAATAGAACCAAGTAGAGGCAAGATCTGCTTTAATTATAAAAAATTTAAACAAACGAAGGCGTTTCTAAGGAAAATGACGTTCGTCCAAAATTAAACTTACAAATAAAATTAAGAAAGTCCTTCCAGCATCTGAACCTCTGAGTTTCTCTTCAAATTTTTATTTTGTATCAATTTACGAGTGCTGAAACGTCAGACTGTTAATTACAGTCATCTAGGTAATTTGCCTTTGCACAAACAAGACAAAAGTATATAAAATCGACAAATGTTAACTGTGGTTCAGCCGTTCTTAGCACCGCAGATCACGCATCACAGCCATTACTATTGTCATTTTTTCTTATTCTGTAGTAATTGTTCAAAACAGCATTAATATTATTCATAAAAATACTACTAAACACAGACTAATAAAGACTGCAGTTTATGTCACAGCCAGGTTTTATTGACAGAACTAGCCACATTGAAACACCACACAGCGTATTAATTCAAGCCTTGCCTTTGTGCACCGCTTGTCCATGTACTGCTGTTTTTTTCATGGAAAGCCTTTGGACATATGTTGTTTTTATAGTCACCTAGATTTCAGCACACATTTCCTTCTGATTACATTTTTGCCAATCGTGGCAGCAGTTCATTTGCGACAAATCTTGAAGAACAAACCTTTTTAACTCTTTACGTGGAACTTCGCATAATAGGGCCAAAGTGTTCTAGTGCCGATGTGTCCCAATTAACCGGAATCCACTGTGTAAGATTAACTAACTATGGACTATGTCATTTTCCCCAGAAACTTGTCAGTAGTTTAGAGCAGAGTTTAAATGAGAACAATAAATTTCGGCAAAGTCATTGGGGTTATATTAATCAGTTGGCTTAAGAGGACGAGCCGCGTAGAATTTTTAAAGTTAACATTGTTCTAAAAGGTCCTTTCTCCACCACCTCCACTCGTATCAAGTCCTGAAATCCTTTCGTCACATTTTTCGATTCACATGGTCGCCAGAACTGCTTACCACGCGCCCATAAAATAAACTTTCATCACGTCTGGAACAGTGTCGACATCTGCTTCTAGAACGAGAGATACAGCAATCAGGCCCTGAGGTTCGCAAACCGTACTGTCACTGGACAGACGAACTGTTTCTCGGGTAAACCATTGGCAAAAGATGAGCTGACCAACGCCATTCAAAAGGCAGTTTCGATGTCTTAACTCAAGCGTCGACACGTGGCGACATGTGCTCTGCGAAGCGACTCCTTCAGATCCCTGGACACTGATGTCCAGTCAATGTGCAAGGCGAAAAAGAGAGTGAAGTGAATTCGTCATTCAGTTTCAAATGCAGGGAGGACTAACTATCTCGCATTCCTAGATAGCGGAATCTCCTGCCGACGACCTTGATTCTTAGTTTCAGTCGGTGAACCGGAAGTTGGCGGAGGCCATCATGGAACTCGACGTTGACAAGGCTCTGGGCCCGAACGGTATTATGATCGGGGTTTTGCCATATTCCTGCAGATCCGTCGATCGTCTTGACACGATCGGCAAGCTCTTCGAGACGATCAGTTTGGGTTGTGATACAGAAATAGCACGACGCTGCAGTTGGCCCGTCGAGTTGAAAGATTCAACACAGACTTTGACGAGACGCGGCTAACCGGCACGATTTTCCTGGACGTGGCTAAAGCCTTCGACACCGTGTGGGCCAAGGGCCGACTTTAAAAGCGTCAAACGTCCCGTCTTACCTGGTGTGAACCGCGATAGCTCAGTCAGTTTAAGAAAATAATGTCTGAATACGAGCTACGCCATCGAGATTCGATCCCCGACAGGGGCAGGGTTTGTTTTTTCCAACCTCTGCGTTCAGACCGGCCCTGAGACCATCCTGCCTACCAGGGGGTAAAGCGCATCCGGGAAATGACGTTGACCGGGTGCCGAGCACTGGCTACAGGATTACAATCAGCGTCTTAATAGTACTGTAGTGCTGGTTGCCAAGACTGCGAGGCGCATCCAAAAGCCCAGACCAGTCACGTTGTTTGGTGAGCCAACACAGCGAAACAGTGCGGAATATTGGGATGACCTTTAATCGACGGCTGACCTGGGCGACGTAATGCCAGCCAGCCTGGAAGAAAGACGGCTTGAAATTGGGCGCTCTGACCTCCTTCGTCAAAGGAGAAGTGGCTTGTGTTCTACTTTATAAGAAACTTACCTAACCAATGTTGGACTGTGCATGCCCAATCCGGTGTTCCGCTGTTTGTAGCCTTGTCTGGAAGCTGCAGATGTCGTTGTATCCCTGCATTGCGATTAGCGCGCGTTGATTTGCCAGTAACAGACAAATTCACGAGGATTTTGATTTTTGTTGTTGTTGAGCGCGTCGTATTATTAACTGCGACCTTCGACTCAAAAATCAGCTAATACGGGGAGCCCCTTAGTTCTGCAACTTAGAAGGCACATTTTCCGACTAAGGGCTGACTGAGGTCACGCACGGATAATTACAAATTTTACAAATAACAAGTTACAGATCAGTAAACAAGACAAGATTGCTTGTGAGAAGCGACTGAAGAAAGAATTCTGCCGTTGCTTGCGCCAGACTGTTTCTTGTTTCTGGGTTAGTGTTAACAAGTTGGAAATGTGCTTTGCGATGAACTCTTAATCGTAAAACGTATTGTTTTTAATCACACATCCACCTAGTTCTCGTCTCCCAAAAAAGGCCGGTCTCCGGATCAAGATTTGAACCCGGAACCTCTCGATGATTGGATTCAACTCGCTCTTGGAGTTACTCATGTCTTTTCCTGGGTTGGAAACTCTGTCAACATGACTGCCATAATTGGTAGATAATTCACACTCCGCCAAAAGATATCTACCGGGAACCTGATCACGTCATTTAATTTTCACCCGAAGTTCCTAGCAGACGTGAGAGTGGGTGCAAGAAACCAGTTCCGATTTTCGGAGCGTGTTTGCACACGCTCCAAGGCTACCTCTCTCTGACAGCTCCCTGACTCATCATCAGCTGTCTGTGAAAGCAAATCACTGACTGGGCTGACAGAGACCTGTAGATCATCGTAACTTTGAACAGATGAAACACTAAAACCCGAGACTCGGATGTGAAAGTTCCCCAACACTTCACTTCGTGATAACATTTTCTGTTCTGCGCGGTCATGTATATAGATGATTTGCAAGGGGTTCATCTTTCTTCCAAGGAGTTCTGCTAAGTGTCTAAATAGTTTACGAAACCTTTCATATGTGAGGCGGCCAAGGTCATTGACGTACTGTGGAACCACGAAGTAAATGTTTATTTAAAATTGGCACTGTAATGGAATTGAAACGTTCGCAAGGCGCATGTTACAAGTTCCTACAGAGTTTTCGCATGGTACGAATGAAGCATACTCGGCTTTAGCAGCGAATTGGATAGGTGTGTCACGATGGAACTTGACACCCAAGACAAGACAGGTACCATCGCGGTAGATCCTATTATTATTCAGACATTCTGGGAGTAAAGGCTGTGTTATGACAAAAATTATATTCCTGATAACATTCTAAAATAAATCTGTGTTTCATTACAGGTGTCGTGGTGTTACAATGCCGGAGGGAGAGTTGAAAAGCGTTTCTGTGGACTGCTGCCACGGTACTGAGGGAACAGTGGATTTTATGCACAATGGAATATCATCACACCAGACGGCAGCACGGTATGTCCGCACGCCACCACCTCTGCCAGACAGCCTCAATAACGGAATCATGCTCAGGTATTTTAAAAGATCATCATTTACCTGCACCATCCGGTGCGCCTTGCTGCTTGGTAATGCACTATCTACGAGCAACAGCCTACCTTAGGCTGATCGGGCTCCATTTCATCCCGATTCGTGTACTAAGTATGCCGGCGTCTGTTTCACGCTTTAAGTAACTTGATACTTTATACACCAACTACCCGAGCGAGCGTACAGCATGTGACTGAAGCTGGTTGGCTGGCGAGGAAAGTAATGTAACACATTTGTTCTAGTCCTTACCGTGCAAGACTCGAGATGTCTTTCTTAACCCCACTTTTGTTGCCCGGTCTTCGCATTACACTGAAAGAAAATGTCCCGCAGACTCGTAAACAGTGGTGGAAATATTTAGTAGATTGTTTCCGAAATATACAGAAGAATTTTAGTTGATTTTGTGTTTGCGTAAAAACAAGTAATATCGATGTAATCGATCTTTTTTTACGCTTCGTTTTCGAGCTGTGACCTTCACTTTAAAATAACACAAAGACCCTTGTCTACAAAGAATTTGGTTGTTACTTTTGTGCATAGAACACTTCCCCCAAAACTGACGCCGTGTATTTCAGAATCACCCTGTATAGATTTTGATCTTCTGGGCTACGTCTTGTGTTATCAGCGTTTCGCAGGAATGAAGTTCACCGAAACGCTAGACGGCGTCACATGGCTGAAGACGGTCGCTTCTCTCACCACTGTGAAACATCTTGCATTTTGCAGTGGATGTGAAATAACAGAAGGTCTCTTGAGCTGAAAACCAGCATTTGAAGGGTTAAGGCTACTGCTAAATAACGTTCCCCCAAAAAAGTAGACCCTTGTCTACAAAGAATTTGGTTGTTACTTTTGTGCATAGAACACTTCCCCCAAAACTGACGCCGTGTATTTCAGAATCACCCTGTATAGATTTTGATCTTCTGGGCTACGTCTTGTGTTATCAGCGTTTCGCAAGAATGAAGTTCACCGAAACGCTAGACGGCGTCACATGGCTGAAGACGGTCGCTTCTCTCACCACTGTGAAACATCTTGCATATTGCAGTGGATGTGAAATAACAGAAGGTCTCTTGAGCTGAAAACCAGCATTTGAAGGGTTAAGGCTACTGTTAAATAACGTTCCCCCCAAAAAGTAGTCTCGGAAAGTTTTTATGTATACGCTATATTTCCACGTGAACTCACAGTGAGGCCTTAGATAGCCCAAATAGTCAGTCTCCGGAAAATAATTTGACGAATTTTCAAGAAATTGGCATTTCGCGTTTACACGAAAGATTATCGGGAAATTAATTTCTGTTCATTCCAATCAAATGTGACCTCTACATTAAATCGCACGAAACTAAAGGACAATTATGTCAGAATTGTATTTGAAATGTGTTTCGATTCGGCGATTACAGTGGGCGCAACATAATTTAGAGCTTGGGCTACGTCACGAAATTGGAAAGGGCGTGTAGGAGTAAGACAACAAAGAGTCTGTCTGAGTACGTATAGCGTAACTGAAAACATTTTTCCTCAATTTAATTCCCATACAATCAGTGGCGTTTTGATACAGTGACCTTTACAGTGCATTGTATTTTGTGAACCAAGGTAAAACACTTTAGCCTTTAGCCGCTGCTCTGTTGTAGCGTAATGCAATAATTTCGCATTCTGCAGTGTACAAAAGCGACCGGGCTGACCGGGGACTGGTTTGTATGTGCTGTCGCTTTGCCTGTGTGTTTGTAAAGAGGGCGAAACAAGGCACCAACGAGCCTGCATGGGCAAACAAATGATGGCGTAAATTAGTCTAACCTACACACTGCACCAGCCGTTTGTGTAATATTCATTTGCTAAACGGCTTTCAAAGAGTCAGGTTCTGTGTACTTTTTTTAAAATGTGAAATGCTTTTTCATTGAGTGCTTATTTTATTTTATTTTTTTCGTATTCCTTAACCTTTGAATTTCTATTTTTGTACAATTCGCCTTTCACATGCCAAATAACCGAAAAATCAGCACTGATCAATAAATTCCGACGAAAAGTCTTTGCTACTCAAGCTTTGTTCACATTAGTCAAGTTGCTTGAATTACACCATCTTGAATTCAAGCTTGTGTTCAAATTTAGGTTAGGTTCGTTTCATGCCTGGAAAAGTAAAATTGCCTCGACAGAATTACTGCGTGCTGGTTTCCTAAAGACTGAAATGTAAACTTTATTAAAAAAAAAGATGTTTACTGATTTAAGAAAATGAAACACATCAATGTGTCCAGCATGCCCACACTTATGAAGGAGTTGGCCTCAGAAGATGGAGAATTCCATAAAAGATCACCTGAGGACGACGAACCACACTAAATAATTATTTTCTGCGTCACTTGTCTTCGAGTTAAAACTTTTGTTCATTTCCTGGCTGTACACTATTTTCATCTTTAATTCTTCTTCCAACACAATCTGTGTTTAACTGTCCAATGCTGAGTTTCTGAAGTGATTTCACATTCTTTTGTCTCTCGCATTTCGATATCGATAATCGACTTATTGCTTTTAACCTTCAGTAAATATTTCGTATTTCTCGTCCACTCCAAATATGTGGAAACAACAACAATAAATATTATTAAAACCAAATTATAGACTTTCAGTCTACTTCTGGGTGGGGTGAAACAGTGTTTTAACGCATTGCAACAAACTGGAGAGTCGAGTTAATAGTTCACATTCTTCAAGTTAGATTTGATGTTCTCAGGGCGGTGAGTACGAAGGTGGCAGTCTTCTGGGTAGAAGTAACTAATACCAGACTACACGGCGCTACAACCCAGAAGACGGCCATCTTCAAGATATTTCAAGGCAAAAAAAGCTGAAATGGTTTCTTCTTCACTTGAAATTTTAAACAGTTTTATTAGTCTTGAATCGTGCTTGAAACGCAGTTCAAATTATTCATGTTCTTTCAAGTTTTTGTTGCCAAGCAACTTTATTGGTGTCAACAAGGCTTTGCTTCCACTTCAATATACGCGACACACACGCGCATGCGCAAATTTGTGATGGCGCGAAAAATATCAAAACTTTTCCGTATCGCGCAAGCCGTTTGTGCAATTACTGGAACTGTTGTTTTGCATGTATACGCTGGTGTTGTGTAAGGGCCCTTTAACTGTTATCTAAGCTCGGACTTATTTTTCGTACATATTAGTTATTGAATAGCAACGAAAAGTAATTTTTGATTACATTTATTCCTGCCTGCCCATAACTTGGCGGATCGCCAAGGATGTGCAGTGGCAATGAGTTTTCAGGTACTCTGAGCCAATAAGCGTCACCGACTACTATTCGCTACTGTAATCTTGAGACTTGCAAGGAATGCAGGAAGTCCTTCCTCCTTCACCCCACCTCCTGACTCCGAAAGTCTCAAGATTACAGTCGCAAACTATAGACGGTAACGCTCCAGAATCTTATTCTTTAGCGGCATAGAGTTTTATTTGTGAATCTCTGAAGGAATTTGAAAAAAAAAGATGTTTACTGATTTAAGAAAATGAAACACATCAATGTGTCCAGCATGCCCACACTTATGAAGGAGTTGGCCTCAGAAGATGGAGAATTCCATAAAAGATCACCTGAGGACGACGAACCACACTAAATAATTATTTTCTGCGTCACTTGTCTTCGAGTTAAAACTTTTGTTCATTTCCTGGCTGTACACTATTTTCATCTTTAATTCTTCTTCCAACACAATCTGTGTTTAACTGTCCAATGCTGAGTTTCTGAAGTGATTTCACATTCTTTTGTCTCTCGCATTTCGATATCGATAATCGACTTTTAACCTTCAGTAAATATTTCGTATTTCTCGTCAACTCCAAATATGTGGAAACAACAACAATAAATATTATTAAAACCAAATTATAGACTTTCAGTCTACTTCTGGGTGGGGTGAAACAGTGTTTTAACGCATTGCAACAAACTGGAGAGTCGAGTTAATAGTTCACATTCTTCAAGTTAGATTTGATGTTCTCAGGGCGGTGAGTACGAAGGTGGCAGTCTTCTGGGTAGAAGTAACTAATACCAGACATCATCTCGATGAAAATTATCGATTCTTTTTGTCCCAGAGCAAATGCTGAGTTAGTATCCAAATTCTCATGCAGCCCTCCCAATGCCAATATCAAAATTACGCCCTAAAAGGAACCCCCCCCCCCATATCAATATCAAAATTTGCCTTAATGACACCCTCCCAAGGCTTATATAGTAAATATCCAAAATTTTGCATGAACGCAGTAAGACTCAAACCAAGCTCTCTCCTTTCTCCACTTCCAAATGCCTTACCTCCACTAAACCTGCTTCTGCCAGAAGGACGAGAGGGCACTGCCTGGGGACCTTCGTTGCCGCAAAACAAAATTTATGCCCCCTCCCGTTAAAACAGAACTGTTAATAGCTACTAGTCCACTTTCTCTTCTCTCTCTCTCTCACATTGACTTCGGCTTCAAAGGGTTAAGGATGAGTTGTAGGAAACCATGTTTGGCACAGACGAGAGACACTGCTGGTGATCTTGACAGAAAAGTTGGAAAGACCGAAAATGGTTAAATAGTGGGTAACTTTCGAAGAAACAATGGTGTCAACGAATGGAGAACGGTTGAGTGATCTTTATAAACAATGCCAGCTCAAGGTACAAATGGTTTTCTCTAACATATCTATAAAATACACTAGGGACAGACCTTTCCACCGACATATGATCGCACGAGAGACTTCTGTTGATAACCAACTTCCTTTTCAAGTATAAGAACGCATTCCCGATGTTCCGTGAAGGTGTTTCAAGCCAGAATTGTGCATGCATTCCTTGTCTTTGGCTTTAGTTTTTATTGTGTGCCGTTTTTGTATACGCGACAATATTTAATAATTCTATTAAATTAATTGATACAGTAATTAAATTCGCGGACGGACGGAAGGTAAAAAATGTTTACAACATTCCGCTGACATGTTGCATGTCCTTGGTACTAGACTCGTTTATGAGAAGTTTACGATGAAAAATCGGTTTTCTAAAAATTTCATGCAGTCTCCGTGTTATATTCCGAAAGCTATTTCCAGATGGCTGCAGGTGTGCAGTGTGTGTTACGAAAAGACATGGCTATGTGTAATTAAAATACCGACTTTGTGTTCCGAAGGACATAACATACACATTCATGTGTTTTGATACGTTTGTGAAATGCGAAGATTCGACTCGACTTGACATGCTGAATGGTGTTCTAAAAACATTATCCCTTACTAAAATTGTACCCACTATTGAGCAGTATAATATTTGAGGGTGAGATGCCAGTGATCGAACTTGTTCGTTGAATTCCATGTAAATCCTGAATACTAAAAATACAAAAATTAGACGAAACACTAGAAAACTAGAAACCAATGGAGTTCTCCCTGTTGCTTCCATCCAGCAGGTATTCTGTACTTATAGTAAATACAGGGTTAAATTGTCTTCAAAAATTTGCTCGTGAATGAAACCCTTATGAAAAGACATAGATCGATCGTAATCTGTGAGAGAAACTCTCAGGTCCAAAGACGTTTCAGAACAGCGTAACAGAAGACGCCATCATCAAGGATATCGATATGTGAGTTGCAAATGTCCACCTCATTCGACAGTGCATCGGGTGTTACGAAAACGTTTGTGTCTGTATGCTTGCAAGATGCAAGTAGTGCGTGTAGGCAGTCACGATCTGAAGGACAGAATTGCAGCTGCTATTGCATCTTACATGCAGCTTGAATATCGTTTGGACACGTACGTGTGACAAATAGTGCCTATGTTTAATGAGTGTGTACGTGTGACAATAGTGCCTATGTTTAATGAATGTAATGTTCAGAACAGACGACGCTCAGACAGTGTGTCTACGTCTTTTCATAAAGGCTTTTTACAGAACTGTAAAGATAATTTGTGTACACCTGTATGTACGAGGTGCGATCGGATAGTTTCCAGACTGTGTAAATAGAGGGCGAACCGGATGTAGTACGAGCTTCTGCCGCTAGGGGGTGCGGCCTACATTCATAGTAAATCAGTGTGCCAGCCGGTATCATCGAATTAGCATTTGTTTCTTAGTTACTGGCGTTTTGGTAGTGCATTACACCGACCCTCCTGCGATTTCGGAATGGC